CTAAACCCTATAAACCCCAAAACCCCAAACCCTAAACCCTAAACCCTAAACACCAAAACCCTAAACCCTAAACCCCAAACCCCTAAACTCTAAACCCTAAACCCTAAACCCTAAACCCTAAAACCCAGGCATGAATGTTTTTGTTTTTGATTGCTCAGCGTCGCGGCGTCCAGTTTGCTGCCACGTTACAAGGGTAGAAAGTCACTGTTCTTTAAGCAGGGGCTCCAATGTAGTTCCTTTTTGGGTCTGTTGTGGTTTTTGGCAAGGAATTATAGTATACTATCCAAAAAGGAACTACATAGGAGCCCTTGGGTAAGCCCTATATCCAAGGCTTGGTATGGTACGCATAACTCAGTAAACTATTATTCTATCATGAACCTTAAACCATAACCCCTAAACCCAACTACTGTACCGGTAACTGGGCTCTTAGATCCATATTTTCACAAGGTATTGACCTCTTCGATCATGAAGAAGGCCGCCTTTGACACACCGACTGCCCTTTCACCGGGCACGGCGCCGCTGCCTAGCCGAGCTGTTGCGGAGATGCCCGATCACGCCTGACGGCACCACCCGCCGACTGGTGTATGTCTGTATGTATGTTGAAAGGCCAGGGGTGTCGCCTCCCCGGTGTGCCGGGATGTTGGATTCCCAAAGACCTGGAGTACAAAATCGCCGGATGCACCACGAAGTCCATTCATGGTCACTCGTCGTTTCCATGGGGGAGGGCACCTACGCAGTACAGTATATACTAGTGCCAAAAAGTATCCATCTGGGATTTCTTTGAAGCTCCGTGTATATTCTATATAGGGTCATGGACTCTGAGGGTTGGGGAACACCAGTGCCGCAATCACGAGGGGCATGGGACTGTAGACTGTAGATGGTGATCATCTTACAACCCTTATTCGCGCGGGTTGTTCAGGAGTCATGTCCTTTCTGATCGTGGGTGATATTACCCTAAACCCTAATTATTGACCACACGAATTTCAGATTCGGCACGAAACGGATGGAAGTATCGGAGGTTGGGATCAGGAATTGAAGGAACGTGGTACATCCTAACAAAAGGAAGCTGTTCGGGATGGTATGGCAGTTCACCTCTAGACCCTAAACCCCTAAACCCTAAGCTTGAGAGAGGCTCTTTCCACGAGTGGCGTACCACCAGCCGGTGCTGGCTGGCAAAATTACTGGATCCTCGGTCGCAGAATAGTGGTATGTTTATGACTTTCTGACGAATGAAATTATGACTTTAGGGCGTGGGGTTTAGGGTTTAGACGGTCGGTTGTTCTTTTCAGAGTGAGGGTATCCCATCTCCGTCTCCTGGCGTGAACCCTGTTGTACTCGCAGCTGCATAACCGCAGCCCCCAGCGGGAATCGCGGGATGAACGTAGGATGACCAGCGCTTTCGTGTGGGGCACTACGCCATTCCACAATAAGCCCTCGACCGCAAATCCTTACTAACACTCTGCGCACCCTAAAAACCGAAGTCGTAACCCCAGATGCCATAAACCCTACAAGCTAGACCACTGCGGGCCCTGACTTCGGACGTTCATCCCATTATGTCAGGGAGGATTGCAGGGGCTCCCCTTCCCTATGTTTGCCATTCCTATTATCGACTTAGACCAATGTTCAAGCAACTTGGGAGACCGTGAACATTTAAATTCCCATAGAAACCCAGAAGCAGAACACCCTGCAGCAACTGATTCGAGAATTAGAGTTTAGGGTTTGGGGCTTAGCGTTTTATGGTTGAGGGCTTCGACTTTGCACAATCAACCTGTCATTCTATGCTAGCTAGAAGCGTTGCTGGGGTTTGTGGATCTTGCTTCTGATACACCGCTGCAGCCCTAAAGCCTACTATAACAGCTTTCGCAACTGGTCAAACCAATTTACGACAGGTAAAGTGGACGAACAAGTCTCGCCGCATAAACACGCACAACACCGCAAACTCCGGCCTGAGAAGCCGTTACAGGCTTTACAGAACCCTTTGAAGAACCCTTTAAAGGAACTCGCTTCTAGCTAAGCAAGGCCCAAGTATAAATCCCCTATACTCATCTTTCTTCCGGTACAGAACCTTTGCAAGAACCTTGTTCTAATCATTCAGGCCCTTTGAATAGCTCCTGGAGATAGTGTTCCTCGGGGATCTAAGGCACGCTGCTCATGGAGCCGGGGCCACAGCAAATTCGGGGCTTTCTAGGAACCGACACTTTTGGGGGAGCTTCGTTTAAATTTTGTGAGATTTTATGCGGATTTTAAGAGTCCGAAAGGCTTCCTCAGCGAGTCTGAAAGCTTCTGTCGGATTGTGGCTTTGCGGTGTCGGTGCTGTTGGTCTCCGGGGCTGTAGTCTGTCGGACTTAAGCGAGCTGAAGAAAACTGAGGCGCTTTGGAAATGGGACCCTGAAGCCCTATACACCCTAAACCCGGACTTCGGGATGCGCAACCCCGAGACTCGGAATCGTTCATGCACGTGCACGTGACGAGTAAGCTCTAGCGGAGAAACCATAAACTTTGTTTAAACTTTGCTTAATGGCACAATATATGCCAAGTTCATTCGCCTTCTCTGTGTAGCAATACTCCATACACATTCCTGTGTAGCAATGCTCCCAAATCCCCGATGCCGTGAACCTTCGAAAGATGCAGGATGACGAATGAAGACCTCATGGAGCTGTTAAAGTCCAAAGAGATGCTCCTAGATCAGGCTTGGCTGCCGAGGGCTGTCATAAGGACCATTAGGAGGGAAAGGCAGCGGGTAGGGTTTGAGCAGGGTTTAGGGTTAGGGGAGGGTGGTAGGGGGGGGCTCTTTCACACAAGGGCCCTTAGGGCCTTAGGGCACGGGAAACGCTACCCCGAATAAGGGCTCGATAAGGGTTTGATATGGCCTGTTTAGGCCTCGGCTTGTAGTTCTGTTCTGGTTCACCACTTGAATTGTGGAAAGAATCCTAAGTTTTAAGCGTTATCCGCCATACTTACGGTATCGCTTTTGACCACATGTATAAGGTGATGTTTTTTTGGCTTGTTTGTGATTGATTACTTCTCAACCCGAGAACGGTTTAGTGGTGTGTCTGATGACGTTTAGGGTGCAGATTCTGGATTCTCGGATCCGCCAAAGAGCAAGCGTTCTTGCCCCCCGAATATCTTGAAACAGACACCATTCCACCCCCGACTGCGTGTCGAAAAAGCTACCCTACTAGGTGGGTTGTTGTCCCTTAAACCTCTTTTTAAACGTAGTATGCTACTCCTTAAGCCTTGAACAAACCCTGTGGTAATACTCGTAACCCAGAAGCCTACTACCGAGAGTACTGGGCCTCGAAAGACCTTAAGGTTTCCATCACTTTTCACCTTGAACACAATAAAATCAGAGAGTTAACACAGGGGCCTTAATAATTAGAATACAGCTTTAGGGCCCCTTATACTATAAGTATAATAAGGAACCCCCCAAAATAGTATAGCTAATCATAAAAACGGCCCCTACAGAAGGGACAATATCGAACCCTAACTAGTAGTACGGTAGTACTCTGATTAGAGCCAGGGCCCCTACACCTTGAACCGGCTTTAGGGTTTAGGGTTTCGGGTTTAGGGTTTAGGGTACCCTAAATCGTATATCCTGATGGTTGTAGCGCGTAATCTCACAAGCCCTTAATGGGTACTTACCCATATTCAAAGCAGGGCCTCCACCCCGAATACCGAGATCAAAAATAATGGTATCCTCATGATAGTGTTGAATACTAATCTTAATAACCCTACATGGTTTACCCAAGGGCTCCTATGTACTCCCTTTTTGGATAGTATACTATAATTCCTTACCAAAAAACATAACAGTCCCAAAAAGGAACTACATTGGAGCCCCTGGGTAAACCCTAAACCCTAAACCCTAAATCCCTAAACCTAAACCCCCTAAATCCTAAATAACCTTACATGGTTTACCTCCTAATTCTCAAGTTCAGGTCAACGAGGCACGGCGCGTCATCGAGGAGAACGCGGGCATCGCGGGAAAACCCCCCGCGGTCCAGAAGCAGATCATCGGGGAGAGGCCCCGTTTAGGGTTTCGGGTTTTGGGGTTTAGGGTTTAGGGTTTCGGGTTTCGGGGATCATTGTGGGAGAGGCTGGAGTACAAGGAATGTGATTCGAGTTAGCCAGATTTTGTAGAGAGGCTCGATTTTAGGGTTTTGGGTTGGGGTTTGGGTGTTATCTTTTATGGTTGGGGCGGGCCCGTGTGTCAAATCCTATTGGAGTTGTCGGGCATCTTAATCTTGGTTTATAGTGGTGCTGAGGACTCAGGATGCTCCAGGATGTGGGCTATACAAGGAAGATGAAGCCGTGAGAGCTTAAGATGTGTGCAGTTGTGTGGTTGTTCTCGGCATTTCGGATTGAGGTTTTCGGTATTACGTGTCGTTGGTGTAGGGTTGAAGCGCGCGGCCGCAGGCTCTTTCCACAAGTGCTCCAGTACTACCCTCTGCTGGCTGGCAAGCTGACCGGACCCTCGTCAGCAAAGGGATTTGGGAGGCGACGAAGCGTCGATCGCAAGCACCCTAATCTCTAGGACATTTTCAGGTGGGTAGTTACCGTTATAGGAGCCTTATAGAAGGTCTATATACCTCACAGAAGCCTTATAGAAGCCCTATATACCCTAAACTCCCCACCTGTAGTTTCCTTTAATAATCCTAAACCCTCGAACGCATAATTGTTGGGTGCGGGGGTAGGTGGCCTTCTGCCTGCTGCGGTAGTCAGTTTCCTATCAGAATTAGGAAACGGTGTAGGGTTTAGGGTTTAGGGTTTAGGGTTTAGGGTTTAGGGTTGTGTGGTCACACACCCAAACTAAACAAGAATCTGCTTGACCAGCACCTGAAACCGGAAACACAACCTAAACACCCGATCTTAGATCCACACGACGCTGGCCGGGAACTGGACCCTCAAGCAGGGCCCATATACAGGGAGCCCATCTGTTCAATCCCCAAAAGGTGCATGTTAAACATGGATCCTATTAGTATAGGGGCCGCAACGATTACCTATATTATTTGGGGGGGTTCGTCAATTATTATATTGTATAGTATAATGGGCCCCAAAACCCTATTCTAATTATTAAGGCCCCTACATTGTGTGGAGTCAGAACGAGAGTGGACGTTAGGGTCCCCAGCTTCTTCAACTCCCTGTACAATCTGTCACGTTGACGAAACACTCTCGAGACCCCCAGGATTCTACTCCCCAAAGTCTTTCCTTAAAGGGTTCTATAAGGGCTACTAGACTGTTTAGGGTTTAGGGGCCTTAATAATTAGAATAGGGTTCCTGTATAGGGATCCTTAAAGGGTTCTATAAATCCCTAAGACCTTGAAACTCGGGATTGGGTTTGGGGTTTAGGGTTTGCAGGGTTTGTGGTTTGGGGTTTGAGGGCTCACCAGGAACGACAATGAGTAGTCAATAATTATTTGTGCAGAGCCTCTCCCCTACAAGCAGGTTCAGTGTAAACTCGAAAACCCCAACCCCCTAAAGCTCTGTAGCAACGGGCTCTCCAACCTCTGAACTAGTGACCCTAAACACCAAACCCTAAAACCCTGCAAGACTAAACCCTAAACTCCCAAAGCCCCATAAACCCTAAACCCTTAACACTAAACCGTAAACCCTCACCCCCCTAAGCCCCATGAACCCCAAACCCCAAACCAAAAATTCGCAACTCCGTAGGTTCAATCCCCATGGACCCTAAACCCCAAACCAAAAAGTCGCAACTCCGTAGTTTTAAGCCCCAGTGAACCCTAAACACTAAGCCAAAAAAATCTTAAGCCCACGAAACCCTCAAACCCAAGCCACCTCCGTAGTTTCGGCACCAACACTTCCCGACACCGTGCAGACAGAAAAGAGCACTTGAAAAGAATGAAAAACACATCGGTAACCCTAAACCCTAAACCCTAAACCGAGGTATGATGCTGGAGCCCGGGCCCGAGAGCGGACCTTGGGTTAGGCTTCTGAAAAGGGAGCTGTAGGCGTTCGATAAGGGAGTTTTCGGGCTTTTTAAGGGATTTGTAGGGTTCGATAAGGGAGCTTTAGGGTTTTATGAGGGAGTTGTAGGGTTCTGAAATGGGGTTTTAGAGCTTTACAAGGGAGCTGTAGGGTTCTATAAGGGAGCTGTAGGGCTTTATAAGGGGGTCTTAGGGTTTTACCAGGGGGACACAATTATTAGAATGGGGTTCAGCATTTGCGGCTTGAGCGTGGGGTTTTAGGCCTAGACGGTTCACATATGTAGCGTGTAAGGATTCACGCTTTGACGGCTGGGAATTTAGGGTCTTAGGGTACGAAGGTCTTACATGCAAAGGTTAGGCCTGGATAGTATGCAGCTTTCCTATACCCGGCTCTCGTTTGGTGTGCCTCACAGGCCGCTGTTAACAGGGACCACAAGTGACAAGGAAAGGCTACCTGGGGGGCATGTTTCGAGAGTTGGAAAGATAAAGTAGACAGAAGAAAGGCCACCCTAAACCCCCAACCCCAAAACCCTAAACCCTTAACCCTATACACCCTAAACCCCAAAGCCCTAAACCCTATACACCCTATACACCCTAAACCCCTAAACCCCTAAGCCCTAAACCCCAAAACCCTAAACCCTTAACCCTATAAACCCTAAACCCCAAACCCTACACACCCTAAACCCCTTAACCCTATACACCCTGAACCCCTAAACCCTAAACCCTCCCTAAAGGAGAAGGAGCCGCAGCAGGCGCCCAGCCCGAGCCCGGCCAAGCTGAGCGTGATAGGGTTTAGGGTTTAGGCTTTAGGCTTTAGGGTTTAGGCTTTAGGGTTTAGGCTTTAGGGTTTAGGGTTTAGGGGTTCAGGGTTTAGGGTTGAGGGCAAAACCAGGTGTCGGCATGCACGAGATCCTGCAGCAACAGCAGGCCACCCTGGAAGGCCTTGTCAAGGAAATGGGTTCAGGCACAAGAAGATGCCTCTTTGAGGCTGGATGGAGCGAGTCTGTGCAAGGACGTGAGGAGATGGCGATCTTGGAGGAGCAGATAGGGTTTAGGGTTTAGGGTTTAGGGTTTAGGGTTAGCTGTTGGACAAAACCGGCGAGACGCTGACCCAGCTGGAGAAAGGCCTTGCAGCTGCGCGCGCGGTTTTTGCTTTGTATTTTTTACGGGAACACCAGGGTCTTCAATAAGAACCTAAGGAAGGGCAGGCTATTGTACCTAAACCCTAAACCCTAAACCCTGAACCGTAAACCCTAAACCCTAAGCCCTATGAACCCTAGACCCTATAATCCCCAAACCCTATAAACCCTAAACCCTATAGTTCCTAAACCCTTAAATCCCTACCATCCCTAAACTCCCCTAAACCCTAAACCCTTAAAGTGTAGCGTGAAGGTAGTGTCGCAGGATGGACAACTCCGACCTCTTGGTGCTTCTCGACTCTTCCCAGCTTTTGAAGGACAAGGCTCGGTGCCCTGGTTTAGGGTTTAGGTGTTTAGGGTTTTGGGGTTTAGGGTTTAGGGTTTACCCGGACCCCAAAAGTAGGTCGAAGAACAGGTAGTTTTTGTTGTTATGAGTTTTTTGCCATGATTGTACCTACTTTGCGGGTTTGGCAGGGTATAGGGTATAGGGGGTGGGCAGGTGAGGCTGCCGAATTTATTAGGACAAGGCTGTTTGCGATGCTTTTGGGTTGCCGGAGGGCTTTATGGGCTACAGGGTTTATCGTTGCTTAGAGATCGAGTTCTCAGCGTGAAGGCAGCTTCATCACCCATGAATGTCTCTCTCAGACCCCTTACATGTGTGTTTAAGAGTAGAACGCTGAAGCATATGCCGATCGAACCCACACCGTGGTGACATTCTTCTTGGCGGCTCTATTTCTGACTGTTGCTTGTCCTCTAGGGGGTCTGGGTAATATGGTGGGTTTAGGGTTTTGGAGTGTGGACCGCATGGTGGCCGGAAGCGTGCAAGTGGTGGTAGGTGGGCACGTGAACCCAAATACCAACGATCGGTCAGACTTGGGGACATAGGTGCAGACAGCTAGGTTTTACCCGAGGTCTCAATATGAAAAGCATGGGATGCACAAAAATCCTTTCATGACACTGTGAGATAGCCTTGTCTACCCATGTTGCAAACCATAGCATCCTGAGCCTCACAGCCCTTAGTCGCCTTAGTTTTCAAAACATACGAAGATGAACAGCAAAGCCTACGCGGCTTCTAAACTCTTCAGACCAAATTAAATTAAGCTTCGAAGCTGCAACCCTACCCCAGGCTCCATGTACCTACGTGGCAACACTCAGGCCTTTTTGTCACGTATATAGGAACCCCTGTTAGGCCTAAGTTTTTGCTACTATATATATAGAGGTACATGGAGCCTTCAAATCCAGCCGTTTACAGCGCATCACACAAAAAAGAGGTTTAAAAAGATCAGACTTAGACTGCCTGAGTGCTTGCGTTCTTGTATAGGTATGTGCACTTTGACGGTGGATGGTTGAGCTTTGAACCCCTAAACCCTGAACCCTGAGAGCAGCCAAAACCCTTCGAGCAGCCTGAAAGCCCTAAGATATAGGGGCCTTAATAACTAGAGTAGGGTTTGGGGGTATAGTATAACTATAATAAGGAACCCCCAAAACTCTATTCTAATTATTAATATTACTATTATTATTGTTAAAGGCCCTACAGTAGACGCAGAAATCCTACAGTAGACGCCAAAGCCCTAAAGAACCCCAAATCCCCTCTGAATCCCCTGTACCTTAAACCCTAAACCTAAAGCGTTGAATCCCCTGTAAAGGAGCTACCCTGCAGAACCCGATGACAAGCCCAGCAAAGGCCAATATAGGGGCCTTAACAACTGCCTATATTGTTTTGGGGTGTTGCTTATATCACTTATATCATACTTATAGTATAATGTACCCCAAAACCCTATTCAAATTATCAAGGCCCCTAAACCCTAAACCCTAAACCCTTGAACTTCCTCAGCCCAAGAGAACCGCCTTTTTCCTCGGAGGTGGAGGAGGCCAAGTTGGTGCTGGACACGACATGCAGCTGGGTTCAAGGAAGGTACTCTTACCCGGGTTTAGGGTTTAGGGTTTAGGGTTTAGGGTTTAGGGCTCTAAGGACTCATAATTTAAGGCCTTTTGGGCCCAAAGACCACACCATATAAGGCTGTTGGGCGATTTTGAGCCTTAGGGTTATGTAAAATGGCACGTTACCGTTGGGACTTGGCTGTGGCTTTCCTGGTCCTAAATTATATAGATTTCTGATCCTGTTTTCTAAAACAAAGTTGTGTAACCCGAAAACTGCAACCCATGCTCTACCCTGTAGCCAAGGGGGCATGACTTCGTATTTGGTAGGGTTCGGGGCTCAGCAGTTCTAGGTCTCACCACAGCACCATGTTTACCCTTTCAATTTCGGTGGCGTCTCGTCACTATACTTCTGAGACTCCATTGTAATTCGGTACCAAGCCCTCTGCCATGTTCTCTGCGCCAGCAAAGGTGGACCGGACGCACATCTCCTCACCGATGAGCTGCTACTGCAGGCACCCTAATCGTCGATCTGAGGGTTTAGCTGGCTGTGAAGCGGTTTTCGGCGTAGGTTTTGCGGTTTAATGAAATCCCTTATCAGACGATTAGGCGCCATAATACCCCTAAACCCAAGAGCCCTAGAGCCTTGGCAATGTATCCCCCTATACCCCCCCCCAATTTTCTGGGCTAGGCCATTGTGGAGGAACGAATCCAGTACACCAAGTTCACGGCTTAAATGAGGGTTTGGGATACAAGGTTCGCGGTCTTGAGTAGAGACGGGGTCAGGTGTAGCACTGCAGGGTGGCTGTGGGACCGCTGAAGCCCTAAGCCGTAATCCTAAAACCCTAAACCCCAGACCCCACACCCTGAATCTCCAAACCCTAAAACCTCCAAGCCCTAATTCGCGGCCGTGGTCCGGAGGCAGAACAGCCCTTGGCCGCGCTTTTGGCTGCAGCTATCATGGTTCCTCTGTCAAGGGTTCCTTTAAGTGTTCTGGTAAGGGTTCTCCAGGGGTTCTGACAAGGCTGGGTTTGTGCCAGGGCTGGAAGCCCTGAATGCTCTGTGGGGTTGGACACAGGTATGGTCCCTTTTCCTTCGGAGCCATCTGGACATTATGATCATGCTAGGTATTTTTCAAGGGGAATATCTTTTGGATTTTTTTAAGCCCAACCCAAGAGATCCTGAATTTTAGACATGTGTAGCTGTGTAGCTCTCTTGCCGTGCTGACGGTGGGTTGAGGTTTGTGCCTTTTAGGTGTCGGCTTGAATGTGAGGTTCGTGCCATATTGCTTGCGGCAACAGCCAGGGGCTCCGCGTAGCTAGTCAGGTCTCATGGCAGATGTTACCGTGATCGCTCCCACACTGAAAACCACTGGGCTTTCAGAAATTGTGTTGTGACTATCGCAGGGCCGTCCTTACTTCGTAGCTGTAGTGCAGTATACTGCTCAGAAGGAGCTTAGGAGTACGACCGGCACACCGTCGAGTCCGGCGCAAGTCTTCGCGCCGCAGTTCTCCACAAAATGTGGATGCTCCTGATGTTGCAGTTCCCCTAAACCCTAAACCCTACAC